AAAGATATAGATTAATAGGATTCAAAATAATGAAAACAAAACAAAAGATACATGTCACCTTGGAATGTCCTGTTTCTTCTTTTTTTGTTTCCTTGAAAGATGCCGCACGAACACAACGGTAATGGCAACCATAATAACAAATATTCCAACAGCAGATAATCCAATGATAATTGACCAGTTAACTTTTGATTCAAAAAAGAGAGATAAAAAAGTAATTAATTCATTATTTCCAGAGTATTTACATACAAATATAAACAATAATTACAGAAAAGTATCTATTAAAATTCATGCTTGTCCGGAACTTGAAAAAAAAACAACGTAAAGTAAACATCGTCTTTGTATAATATCAGCTAATAGTTTTTTTAAAAAACAAAATAACTTCGTATTTATCACTTAATGTTACAAATGTTGAATTATTATAATATGTCAGATAAAAATATGTCACTTGTGAAAACAGTATATACATCTCCTTCATCAAGCTTTCCATCGCGTATTGTCTCAACAATAAACATAAACGAATAATTTACAAAAAAAGCTATATTAGCTATAAGAAATAAATACTTACCCTCATTGTCTTCATATTCCAGCCTGTAAGTGAATATATAGTTTCTTATCTACATGATTTGTATTTAGTGTATAGTTTATAAAAAAAAACCTTTATACTAATTTGTTTTAGTTCCACTGAGTTGGAAACTTTAAGCTTTTTGAAATACTTTCGAATCCGTTCCAAGAAACAACCAGTATTAAGCAATGAGTGTAAAGTTTCTTGCTCACTGAAACAGTGGTTTGCCCCTGACGGGAGTATAAACGCACGCGACAGTAATCCTTAGATTACTTCTTCGACGCGCTAACCACTAGACCATGCCGCCACCGGTAATCTATATTTCATTTCTAGATAACAATTTTAATTACCGTACTATTCAGATAAGAATATATGGAAACAAAAATACATGGAGAACAAAACAATAATAGTTATTCATTTATGACAACTATAATAAAAGTGTAATCTGTAATATGTGTAAATATAATTCAAGTGATTGTTACAGCATTCAACCTACCTGCAAATAGGAATATTGTTCTCAACTCTGCACCGGTAGCCTTGTTTACAACTGCCGACAGTTGCATTGTACAATTCACATGGTTTCAGATCCTTATACATCGCTTTAGAAACAATAAAAAAGCTGTGATTTTAACTGAGTAGAATCGATACATGTATGATTATATACAAGATGATAAATCATATATTTCGACATATATAAATGTTGTTTTACATCAGACAAAATTCGTTTACGATATAAAGATGTGTTCCGAAAAAGTATTTTACAGTATTTACAACGATATTTAGTAGAACTTGTTCATATTTCTCGTACACATGCGTTTCTGATGTTTTTTTTTCCAAAGCATTATGTGGTTCTTAGGCGAGGGGCCATATCACACTAAACATTGTCTCCTTATCCATACACTGTTAATTGTGTAACTCAAGGAAACTTACCTGACGTTACGCTGACGTATTGTCCATGCACTGTCAATTGTGTAGTTCTAGTTTATCAAGGACACTTACCTGATGTAACACTGACTTTTTGTCCATACACTGTCAATTGTGTATCTCTTGTTTATCAAGGAAACTTACCTGATGTAACACTGAAATTTTCTCCATACACTGTTAATTATGTACATTGTTCTAGTTTATCAAGGAAACTTTCCTGACGTAACAATGACTTTTTGTCCATACACTGTCAATTGTGTACCTTGTTCTAGTTTATAAAGGAAACTTACCTGACGTAACAATGACTTTTTATCCATACACTGTCAATTGTGTACCTTGTTCTAGTTTATCAAGGAAACTTACCTTACGTTACGCTGACATATTGTCCATCCACTGTTAATTTTGTAACTTGTTCTAGTTTATCAAGGAATCTTACCTGACGTAACACTGACATTTTGTCCATACACTGTGAATTGTGTACCCTGTTCTAAATCAAGGACAGCTTTAGTTAGATTTGCAGCATCGTTCTCGTTGAGTTCCCCGAACACAACAGTATAATCCGCAATGATACTTCCATTCCTTAAAGAGAGCACATGATTCAAATTATATTTCAAATTCATCTTTCTCAACCCTCATTATTTTTGTTTAAATCGATGAACAGTTGGACGTGAGCTGAGTAAAAAAAATGAAATCCCATAAGAGAGAGAGAGAGAGAGAGAGAGGGGGAGAGAGAGAGAGAGAGAGGGAGAGAGAGAGGGAGAGAGAGAGAGGGCACATTGAAATGCAATATTGACCATACATATACAATTAGAGATTGTTTAGTGAGTATTAAATATGTTAAACAAGTGAACGAAGAGGAAAAGCAAGGACTGACAGAATAAACGGATGTATCTTGAGAAAAATTTTCAAATTCGGTCATTTATTCAATTTCCTATGGTATACTTTATAAAATTACCATCTGAGCAAGAACACATAGAACTGTAAATACAACTGTAAATATCCGAAAAATACACAACTATATAATGGATTGTGTATAAATCAATATATGCAATATTAGGTAGTGTACGTAAGCATTTCTCAAATATTTCAATGAGGACTGTAGAAAATTAGCTTTTGAAGTAACAAGGAAACGAAAGAATGACGTGGCTACAGCCTGGACAAGAGTATAGTGATGTACTGAAGAAAATGCTCACAAATGGACGGTAAAGAATGTTAGTCAATCTTGGATCAAACGTAATCAGTTAGACACATGCCTATTTTACTTTTTTAAAATCTTTTAAGCTCATCTTTTTATTTTAATGAATTAAAATGAAGGTTTTGTTTGTTTGTTATTTTATCAACAGGAAACAAATTAGAAAACAGGATATCCTCATAGGTTTATAAGCTTAAAGTTATCTTCTCTATCCTGTATGCAATTCATGTATTGGAATTCTGTTTGCTTATATGAAAAAAGAAATGAATATTGTTGAAACCAAATGGGCAACTAAAGTAATTTTATCGCAAACATGTATTTAAAACTGAAATTTACATTTTGTTTGATTATTAAATACAAATAAAAATAGATTCAACAAATATTTTAATTGATTATCTGATGGTTAAGACAGTCAAGTATGTAAAATATATCATTGCAAAGTTACCTTATATCATTTATTATTATATCAATCAAGCCAGCAATATATGTCTTGTAGAAGTCCAACAGCTGAAGCAAATGAAGAGTTAATACATAAACCACTAACATATAAACCATTTACAAAATATTTTACTATTTTATTTCTATTTTTTCCATTATGATAATTTTATGATAAATATTTCAATAATGCGTGACTATATATCAATTGTTTTGTGACTGTTATAAAGTATATAAAAATGTGTCATTTTATCATCTTTATTTTGTTTTTAACTAACTTAACATATCGTTCAATCAAAATAAATTTTGGATTAAGATTAAGTTCCCCTATTAAAACAATGTAAAATGTATTTAGATAACGATAGCTAAATTGAAACATTTAAGCACAGGATATGCAACGACTTTAAACTAAAACAACTAACTGTAGAAAGTATTTCATTTTTTATTTCGTTGTAAATGTCAGCGGCTTGAAGATTGGTATCAGCTGGGAGGTCGTAGTCTAATATGAGTGAATGCCTAAACGAACTGCCTATAATGATATAGTAGACAGAGACAACATATAAGTATAATATTACTGTGATTTTTGTGATATAATGTACAGATATTGAATCAAAATCAATAATCATATAAAACCTTTTTTTTTGCTTTAGGTTTTTAATATTCACAACAAATTCCAAATACAATTTACGTGCTATCAAAGAAACATTAATGTTAGAAACAATAAGAAATTAAAATGCTTCTATAACAATTGAATATTTATAGAATATTCACATTGTTTATAAGTATATGTTAACGAAATACGAGTACAACCTAAGTATATGTTAACGAAAAACAACCTACCAGGAACTGCAGTTGTCGTTAAACTCTCTGAAAACAAAACGGAAATTTAATTAGATTTTGAGAGTTGCAAGTCAATAAGATACTTACTTTCGTACCGATCAACCATCACTTACAATATGAAAGAAATGTTACAGTAGTAGCGTTAGAGTGATGTTGAGACATTAATATACCATTGTTTATACCTTACAAAAATATAAAAATATTTCGAAATTATGTAAATGTACCACAGAGTTAATATAGACAAAGACAATTCTAGTTGTCCCGTGTTGTTTTCTCGTCCACGGTAAGTATCTTCCCCTTTGCCCCTAGTTTTTATTTATTTTATTTATCCCCTCCCCTTCCCCGGGTCTCCTGCCCCCTTTCCCTGTGCCCTTTGACTTTATGGGCCTATTATTCCCTATCAGTTACTTATTATTTATGATTTTAGTGGTTAGCCTGTCCATGCCCTTGTGCCCTGTCCTGTTTTTGTTTGGGGGTCCTCCTGGGCTCCTTGCCACTTGCCCCTGTTGCTGGGTCGGGTGGGGGTTGCGTTCCTTGAACGCCGCCTTTCCTTGTTGATCTTGTTTATCATATTTTCTAAAATCTTAATTAAATTGTGTAAATATTTGTAAAAAAGCAACTTTTACATAACATTTGTAAAGGTAGCTCACACGATTACCTTTTATACAGGCTCCGTCAGACGATTTCGTAAAACCCCTTAGGCAGTCACAAAGAAAAGAACCAAATGTGTTAACACAGGTTGTATCACTGATAGTTGAACAGATTCTACTATCTTCACATTCATTAACGTCATTATTACAGCTGTCACCATACCAACCGGCTTTACATTTGCATTGTCCTGTCATTATGTCACATGCTTGGTTCTCATTTAATGAATTAGTTATGTTGCAGCCACACATTTCTGAGCAGTTTTTACCATATTTGTTCCCAGTGCATTCTAAAACATCATTAGAATATACAGACAAACTTAACATTACAAACAATGTTCATTACACAATAAGGTAATGAAAGTCGATTTAAAAGAGATTTACAATTATGAATACCTTATTACATTAGATATAATAGATTTAATCTTAAAATTGTTTAGCTTAATCTTTATAGAAACAATATGAATTGACACGGCATACCTTCACATTTGTTATTCCCAATATCCTGGAATCCTGTATTGCATATGCACATATAAGACCCGATAGTGTTGTTGCAGGTAGAGTTTGTCTTTCCATCACATAGACTGCTGTTGTTCAAGCATTCATCTACATCAACCTTACAGTTCTCGCCAGTCCATTCCTTAGTCATAGAAAATATAAGGATTTGTATAATGATTAAGAATTGGAATTTCTTTTGACATTTCTAATGCGGAATGCAAATTATTTTAATAAATTCCTTAGTAAAAGTTGAAAATACAGGCAATATAATAGTTTGTATACGGATGTAAGTAACTGAAACGTTGCTTTTGTACTCAAACTTCGCCAGTTGGATAGAAAATATACAAATTTCTATTTTTTGATGATTCATTTCTTTTCTTTACAAACAAGTTCCATTTTTTCTGCATAATATGTACAATTATGAACGGCATAATTTTAATTATCGCATGATATTATGTAATATATTCTTTAGAAAACGTCTTACTGAAACATGTAAAAAATGATTTGCAAATATTTTTTATGTTTTCTGTATAACAATAATTAATAAGATATACATAGAAATGTGTAGGTCTTGATTTCCAAACAACCATAATCGTTTTAGTAAATTTGTTTAAACGCCTTTGTTATCTTTAACTCTAAGCTTATATATGCAGAACATATACATATACAAATGTATATTACACACTATACCTTCACATTTGTTACTTCCATAGTCCTTGATATTTAGGTATTATATAATTATGATTTCATATAAATGTTTACAATTGATTTAATGTAAATTTGCAAATAACATGCTAAGGGCAAATGTATATGTGTAAGATGCGCATACACAAAATAAATATAGACTATTTGTATTAATAGATACAACTTTACTTATTGAATATAGTTATATCCATTTGAGATATAAATACAGAAGAAAATGTAATAAAAATACCTTTGAACAAGTGCATTTACCAGTTACATGATCACATATGTCAGTGTTATCTTTATTACACGAACATTCTTTACTGCAATTATCTCCAAAGAACCAGCTGCTACATTCTGTCAAATACCAAATATAAAACATACATTTATTTTATTTGACTGAAAGAAAGGTAACACAATAAGATTGTTATGTTATAATGTTTTAAATGACCCTTTCCTCTTATCATAGTGTGTGTCCGAGCAGCGACTGAAACATGCTTCAATTACATATTTTATTTATATTTGGCATGAGCATGATAAGACCGATAATGGTCTGGCTTAAAGTCATGATGACACCGTAAATGTTTACCGGAGTAGAACCACTTATCTCCCAAAACTTGCTAGATAAGGTAGCAGATAGCTTTATTGCATAAAATAATATAATGTTCTTATCAGGAATGGGCGACAATGGGAGAGTCAGCAATGTCAAAGTCAGCAGTCAGTTACCTTCAAATACATTCCCGAAGTTTCTTTCTCAAAAGTGTTTTCTATTTTAATTAATAAAGTAAATGCAACTTCTCCTTTCTATTCGCAAGCTCGCTATACTCACAGGTCTGATATATAAATCAATATTTTTAGTGCAATACATGACTCACTCTTTATTTTGAAAATTCATCCATATCAATTATATGATTGTATTATAAAAAAAACTGTATTGTATATTTAGTTAAAAATACCAGAGCATGATCCTTTATCTGCCTCTATGTAACCTGTATTGCAGTCACATTCATAACTTCCAATCGCATTTTTACATTAGAGTTCTCGGGAAATATTGTGTCTCACATTTTTATTTAATATCCCTTTCAGAAAAGCCATTCCTCCCGCCCTTTCACGTCATAATCCATTTTCCCGGGTTACGTACTCGTGTTTGTCTATCAATGAACATACTGATTCGCAATTTGCTCCAAATTTCCAGATATCGCATTCTGTAAATGTAAACAATATGGTTTGGAAATGCAAAAATACATTCAAATTCATCTTGAAACATCATCATAATATGACATGTACTAGTATACATAATTATAGATACAGAACAAGTTTAAGGTAATAACTTTACAAGAAAAAAAGATAGCATGCAAAACTAAGCAAAACCTGTGCATATGTCATCCTCGTCTCTAAGGCCGTCGTTACACAAACACGTGAATGAACCATTAACGTTTTTGCAGGTAGAATTGTCCTTATATTCACATATTGTTTTATTTTCTTCACATTCGTCTATGTCGACATTACACAACACGCCGGTCCAGCCCTTAGAAAACAAATAACTTTATATACAATCAATGAATAGATGATTAAGTTACGGAATAAAGTCTCATGTTTTAAATCGATCTAAAATGTTTGATCACAATTTTAACTTGTACTCACTTCTAAATAAAAGTGCAGCTTTAATTTAACCCTTTCAGACACAATGTCATTTAGTGGATATGTATACATTAAATCATTTTATTGTCACTCATAGATTTTAAAGTAATATTGTTTGATTTGAAGATACTTTAAGATTTTATTTGTCATATACAAGAACAAATACGTATAGAATCGATACAAAAAAAGGAAATTGGTAGCAACATGTATTTATTTAAGTATTTTCCGATAGTATTAAAAATTAGACCTGGCGATTATTTGCACACTGATAATAAGTTTTGAAAGTAATGTAAGCCAATCATGCATAGAACTAAATTGAATTCATTTTGTTTCGTTTAATGATGTGTACACAGTATACCTTTCTAATTTCTGTCTGGCATCATGCCATCTTTAAAACTCTTTTAAAACTGTTTCAGGTATGAAATTAAATTTTTATAAGAATAGCTAAATATCATTTCAATAAAATATCCATAATTAACTTTCAATAATTTTTCTTTGATTTAATTTCTCACCTTCCTGCAAGTACAACTACCATTTACATGATTACACTCAAATGTTCCTAAAGGGACGCAGTCGCATACCTTGCTGCAGTTTTTCCCATAATATGGATTGTCGCATTCTGAAGGTATGTTATAACATATGTTAACTTTATAGCATATATTATAGCATATATTAACTTCATATGGTCTAACAAAAACTATAATAATGATATCTATTTGTGGAAATTGTTTCCAAAATTATTTGAGTTTCGAAATTAATTTTGTTGTCTACCTAAAATGTTTTACAATTTCATGTCGTACCTTTGCATATGTTGCCATAAGTCATTTGGTATCCAATGTCACATAAACAGTCAAAACGTCCATAAGAATTTTCACAATATGAATTTTCTTGGCATATTCCTTCATTAATACATTCATCAACATCTTCAGTGCAATCAGAGCCATTCCATTCCTTGGCGCATATGCAATCACCAGTTTTAGAATCACATCTCTCAGAATTCGGCACATGACAAGAACAATTATGTCCACATTCAAATCCGTATGTCCATTTTTCACAGGCTGTAAAAATATAATACTTTGCTCGTACATTTTAATTCAAATTGTTAAAAGTCAAACATTAAGGGCCTCTATTTTATATATTGTAAGGTTAAACAGGAAGCTTTTTTACTCACCAACGCAAGATTTCCGATCAGTTACGTTTAGATAAAATCCGATCTCACATGAACAGATGAAACCTCCGTATGTGTTATTACAATTGTGATCACATGTGTTGTTCTTTTTGCATTCATCAACGTCTGTAAAAAGGAATAAATGGAGCATTTTAGTCCTGGACCCAAAATGATTTTTAAAGCTACTATCCTACACACTGTAATTTTGGCTTTTTAAACTAAAATGTCACCAAAAGATAAAATGTCACCACAGGCTCTTACATTTATATGAAACTAGATTATTTAAACATGTCTTTACTGACAAAATTCTTTTTTGTAAAGTATTTGCAATGTTTAACCTGCCGTTATTTTAAGCCGTGGCAACGCTTTATTTTTGGCGACGCCGGTGAGCGGCGTCGTCTCTTATGGAATGCTTTTTATTTTGGCCTATGGAAGGAGCTGTTATTATTATCAGTTAATGTCATGTTGTGTGAATTAGTTTTATTTTGATTCGTGAAAAATAAGAAAAGAAATATGTTGTTATATTTGTATTTAATAACTTTATGCAAAAAGCATGTGCATTGTAATATTATTTTCACGAAATTGCAGGCTTAGTTTAACAGCTTGTCCCTTAGTTACTAAAACCCGGATTTCGAATATCGTTGTGGTCTACATTGATGCCGTATCCATCATTCATTCATTTATATATTTTCATTTATTTTTCTGCAAGAAGAAAGTGCACCTGCAAATGAGTATTAGGATAGGTAATGAACTGTTGTAAACGAATATCCTATTAGTTTTATCCATATTACGTTTATCTGTTGCACAGAATGATTCTTTTTACAAAGTGTACCAGTATGTTGAAAGCTATCCGATTTTCTGCAATTACTGCTGTCATATGGCCATCTATTTTTTTATGAATACTTTACCATTAATTTGTATGGCTTAATAAAACTGAGCCTGCAACATTTCATAATTTTGCTGTTTAGGGTGTTATTTTGGGTTTCAGGTTTTCTATGTTTTAAGGGGATGTAACTCATGTTTACTAAATTATTTGTTTTTTTCTGACTATCTTAGGTATTACTTACTTTTTTTGTTGTATAAAATTTACCAGTTGTAAGGTCATCAAAAGCATGTTAATGTTAATGTTAGGATTTCATATTTATTTAATAGAAACATGGAATTATTTATGTTATGTGCATACATGTATATCTTAGTATATTGATATGATGAGACATATAATATTTCTGAATTTAAAGAGTTACAGTTATGTCATTTTTATTAAAGGGATGAAACTTTCATTTAAAGTTATAAATGATAATACATGTATTGATAGAAAATGTTCTTAAACTTGGATCAAGCAATATAATTAATAAAGTCTCAAAAAATCATATTCTGAATAGTTATTCTAATTTTTTTCTAACATGCGCGTAGTTTGAAAAGGACAGCTTCTGTCTTATCTATTTGTAATGGAAGGACACCAGTCTCAACCTCCAGGTCTCCTGAGTCAACCCGACAACAGGCTTTTCATAGAGTAGATTGTTACTTGCCCTTGAATAAATTTGTGCACTGAATTTTATAGTGGATGAGTTGTGCCACATGAAAACCAACAAAAAGTAAGCAGGCGCCAGATGAAAACATGAAAATACAATCTACCACTCAGTGGTTCGTTTGTTGCATTTTCATGTTTTCGCCCGGTACCCTTGATGCAAAATACAAATCAGCCTTCATAAAATTTCTTATCATAGAAAAAAGGTTAGTTTTTTTATATGTACAAAAAATAGATATTGTACATGTATAAGCACAGTTATGTTCACTTTCAAATTGACCTGTTATAAATAATGGCACAACATATAACTGTCTAATCCCTTTTTAGTAAAAATAATTATACAATAATATGTAAATTGTTATTTTAATTAAGACTATGAGTATGTAAGTTTTTTTTCTTATTTATTAATTAAGAATTAATTATCTGTTAATTAAAAAAATCTAAAAGTATCTGTCACGGTTTAGAACTGTTCACTATTTAGGGGAGAAAATGTGTAAGCGGCCAGATAGCTTAATCGCTACAGCTGCGGTACATTATTCTGTGGGTCACAGGTTCGAGTTCTGGTCAAACTGAACGTTTTTTTCATCCTGTGACTGCATATATTCACTATGCTCTGTAAACATAAGAAATTCAAGGACACAATCAATATAGTGGGGAAATATGTTGTGGTTTAGAACTGTTTCATATTTAAAGAGAAAATGTGTAGCCGGCCGGATAGCTCAGTTGGTCTTCTGAAAGTCATGGGTTCGAGTCATGGTCAGGCAGTTTCAGTCAGGGTTTAGAAGTGGTTTTTCAACTGACACATGTTTGATTCATTTAACAGATTGCATTAAATTTGAAATGGACAAAGGCAGTATTGCATGATACTTTGAGATCTACAAAGGGCAATTGATACAGTTAATCACACTATACTGCACATGAAGAAGTTCTTTTTCTTCTTCTTCATGAAACTTCAAGCATCTGCCATATGTAATGACATTCTTACATGGTCTTATCTCAGCAGCTGGTGGATGAGGCTGGTACTTATTCTACTACTGCTCTGAATACCTATGGTGTTCATTTTAGTTCCTCTTTTATGTCTAATATATGTCAATGACATGTCTTCAACCCTAAGCAATAAGCTTTTATTATATGCAAAAGCACAAGTATCAGACATGGGAAGAAAAAATATGACCAGATTGATAAATCAAAGCACAGAAGGCGCTAAATTTGTTTGGGTCCTGGGACATAAGATGTCCTAGTTGGGTCTCAGAATATCAGAAAGGTGAAGGTTGTGAGATTATAAAACAATTTAATTTTGTATAGTGCCAACAATGCTTTCCAGCGTTTTAATTTAGTAGATTGGCTATAAGACTAATTGCAACAATGATATTCAATCCAAAGTTTATTGACTTAAACAATTTGAAAAAAAAGAGTTGCCTTCACTGGGATTTGAACTCCAGACCTCTCGCTTACTAAGCGAGCGCGCAAACCCCTCGGCCACAGTGAATTTACATGGTACGGCATGAAAAAAACCTTATTATTCTAAATTAGGGTTTGTAACGACGCTAACTGTTGTTTAACGCTTGTGTAAATAATCATGGCGCTTACTATAAGCATGTATATCATTAAAGAATAAAACAATATTAGAAATCTTCGACCATTCGGGAATTATTTTGCTTGAAAATTAATGCCCCTGTCATGTGACCATATTTACGCAGTGATTTCCCCTGAATTTTTCGGCCTTAGTGTTACATATAAAGGAAAGTAACCGCTTCTAAAAAGCGGACTACTTTCGGCAAATGCAATTAACAGCATTAGACTCTGAAATTTCGCTACCATTATTTGTTTGGTCTGACGACCCAAACAAATAAAAACCTGTGTTCATCTTAAAAGTGTCAAAACCCAAAAAAATATTGTAAATAATGACCCCCTTTAAAAATATACTTTAACTTGTAAGTTAATAGTATATTTTTAAAGGGGGTCATTATTTACATTTCTTTTGGTTTTTATGAACACAGTTTTTTATCAATCTGGTCATATTTTTTCTTCCCAGGTCCGATACTCGTGCGTGTGATTATATGCTGATGACTCGGGTATCCTTGTATCATGGAAAATAAATCTGAGGAAATTCTTTCTTATAGCATGAGTCTTATAAGATTGGTTAATTGACTATAAATTGTCTTTGCATCTTGGCAAGACAGAGTCTATTCTTTTTGGTTTAAGTTTCAACTTAAACTGGGCCTAGCCTCCAGGTAACGTGTAATAGTACTGCTATAAAGTACACATCTTTTGTTAAGTATTTAGGTGCAAACCTGGATCAAATTCTTTTGGCGTCGCCCTTTGATGCTTTGCATCAATGCTTTTCTTGTTTAAATATTGACTTAATTGACCAGCACAGCCGTTACCTGGTTGCAAGTCGGCCAGTGGGTTGCGGATAGAACTAGTGTACGCTTGGTAAGGTTTTTATCCTGCAGTCGATTGCTGCACAATACATCATAGAAAATTGTGTCTATAAAAATGTTGAACTGCATATATTATTTTGTTATGAAAGAAAATATCAACGAAGGTGAGCGATGTTTACTAAAAGCAGACACAAGCAATACAAAATGTGCTTAACTGGCATAATAGAACATTATTATTATAGAATAATAGTGGCAGTACGAGTATTCTAGTATTACCTTGGCAATCACCTGCCGACATGTGGAAACCAGAGAAACATGCACATTCGTAGCTACCGGGTAAATTTAAACATTTCTGTCCGCAACTATTTGTCTCATTATCTAAGCACTCATTGAAATCTACAATAACAAAAAAATCATTAAAATATATAAAAAAATCTTGATCTGACAATAAATTTGTAATTCACGTACATTGCATGATTTAATATTTTTCAATGTGTTATTATTAAAATTATATTGAGTATTACCTGTGCAAATCCCACTTTGTTCTAGAAAACCATCTCTACATATGCACTCATATGAACCAATATTGTTTCGACAAATTGAAT